TTTACACTTCCTCTCTATCTTACTTTTCCAAAATCGATTTTGAGAGCTCCTCTCTCTAGAATCTCCCTTCTCTCTAGGGTTTGATCTAGTTAGAGCGTTCCCCTACCCTTCGGCCTTTGTAAAAAGTGTGTTGATCGTCGAGGGCTTCGTTTCGATCCAAAAGGTTTGGAGTTTGGAGCACTTTGGTTTTGGTCTTCTTCTCCATTTGAGTTCTAACTTCGAGGTAGGGATTCCTCCTCATGTTTATGGGCTTTGACCTAGATTGTGAGCTTTTGTATAAATGGTTTTGGATTTTGGAAGTTAGGGTTTCAAATGTGTGATTTGAAAAAAAAGGGTTTTGTTTCTTTTGAGCCATAACTGTGTATTTGGGTTTCAAAATGAGTATGTTGATGTTTTTGGTAATATTTGGACCCTTGGGGGTTAGGATTGAGAAAATGGGAAGAAAGCCCTAAATTGTGTATAAATTAATTGGAATAATTAATTTGGAAAGTTGTGGATTTGTGAAATTGAGTTGAATATAATGATAGTGGTTCATTATGAGATGGAATAGTGGAGTCGGATTAATAAATCGTTCACTTTTGAAAATGCGGATAATTTATCTGTTGGTGCTTTTATTATCTGTTTAGAAATAATTGCCTTGGGCTACTGGTGGAGGGTAGTTTTGATTGTTGTAGACAATGCATGATGATTAGGCAAACTAAAACTAGTCGATTGGATGTGTCATCGAATATGACGGTTGAAAAAATACATTAATTTTATGTATTGATTGAAATTGTATATGATAACTGTTTATATACATTGCTTTGTGTGGGAGAAGATGGGGGATGTACTCCACGGTTTATTGGAAGATGGGGGATGGACCTCTAAACTGGAAGTTGTTTGACATTGATACAGCACTACATTGTGTATCATTTGTGAAGTCTAGAAGTGTTTGCTTGACATTGATACAACACTAAAATGTGTATCATTTGTATTGATTGATTGAACTTATATATGATAAATGCTTATATACATTGCTTTGTGTGGGAGGAGATGGGGGATGTACTCCATGGTTTATTGGAAGATAGGGGATGGACCTCTAAACCGGAAATTGTTTGACATTGATACATCACTACAATGTGTATTAGGTGTGAAGTATAGAAGTGTTTCTATGTTTATTTGATATAGCACTAAAATGTATATCATTTAGAAAGTATGGAAGTGTTTTGTTTGATTTGATATAGCACTAAAATGAATATCATTTGAGAAGCATGGGGATGTCTTGTCTGACTGTGATACAACACCAAAATGTGTATCTATTATGAAGTATGAAATGTTAAAATGAGTTATTATCTCACCTGAAATAGGAATACCGTAGCCATGAGATGTGATCTCATTTAAAATGATTGGCCTAGTTCTGAATCGTAATTAAAAATCGAGAATCTGATAGGAAATGGAAACTGAAATAGAACATGGATATATTAGTCATGGGATCGAATAGTGTTATAAGTTGTTGTGTACGAGTTAAACATTTATCAATTGCTGACATTTTAGTTATCGTTCATACTATGTTTAGCATATCTCTACTAGGCGTTGGCTCACCCTATATGGGACATCATTTTCAGGTTCAGGTGTTATGCCGTCTCCGAGACCTTAGCTTGGAAGGTTGAGAGAGTTGAAGATTCTTGTTTGTTAATTTTGTTGTATTACATGTATATCAAGTCAAGGGCTTAATTTGTAGTCTAAGTTAGTACTCTTCTTTTGTAACCCAAGTGTTGACTTGGAAAGTTGTAAGCCCATAGGGCATTTACTTTTATTGTTAACGTGTAATACATTTTGTAAGAATGCTCCGATGATTGTAATATAATATCTCTTTTCTGTACTTTGAATGTATAATATTATGGGTTTATTTTGAGGGCGTTACAAAAAAATTTTCCAGATGTTCAGCATCAACATCTATTGGTACTGGTGGAGATAGGCTATGAAACCATTGAGATTAGATTTAAAAGGAAAAGATGTAATTGTGGTGTAATTGCAGTACTTTGGATGACAGAGTCCAAGACGCCAAACAAAGGAAGACCTTATTAGGCATGGTGTAATTCCATAACAGTCAAACATATTAAACATGAAACTCAAAGATGAGCAAGACAGTTAGAGATTTATGGCTACCAACACTTATGAAGTAGAGAACAATCCATTGAGTTTGAATATTGAATGAATTAAATGTAATATTAATATCCTAATATTATGCCAACACACTATTCCCCTAAACTCGAACAGCCGACAACTACAATTTGTGTCAAAGTTTTCCTTATCAAAATAGACAATGAAAGTTGCTAATCGAAGGTTCTCTCCAAATGGAACATCTTCACTCACTTCATATATAGAAAAATTAGGACCTTGTGTATACAAAGAAAAATTGCAATGAAGCTGTCCTACAACCTCCTATTGGAACTCTTTAAATTTTGCAATAGTGTAAGCTTTTTGAAATTGCTTCTCAAATAGATACTGAGTTATGCACGGAATGTATGAGTTGAGAGAATTAAATTCTTTACCATTTTCATTTTCCACCTTCTTCGCCAAAGCATTCTCATATTACTCCACAAATTGTTTCAAAGTGGTTTTTGAGTTGATGTACCCATCAAAGAATGCGTGCATGCTTTCACTTCGTTGTGTGGTTGACATTCCTGTCCAAAAACTATCTTTGACAAATGCAGGTACCCACTGATGTCTATCCTCAAACAATCCAAATAAACATTCATTGCTTTCAAGTTGATAATTCTCTATCAATTTGTTCCAATTTTCTTCAAACTCCTTTTTTGTTAAGGAATCATAAACTGCATTCTGTATCCCAAATTTTATTGCCTCATATTCTTTGTATCCTCTTAATTTTTCAAGTAATTTTTTCAAGATATGCCACAAACACCATCGGTGACGCACATTAGGAAAAACAATTTGTATAGCATTTTTCATGGCTTTATCTTGCTCTATAATAATAGCATTTGGAGGACATCCAGACATGCATGCAAGCCAAGACTTAAATAATCATGTAAATGTTTCTATATTTTCACGTGAAATGAGTCTACAACCTAATAATGTCGACTGTCGTTGATGGTTGACCCCAATAAATGGGGCAAAGGGCATATCATACTTATTTACCAAGTATGTTGTGTCAAATGTAACCACATTGCCAAACCCTTTAAATGCAACCCTACTCCTTACATCAGTCCAAAATACATCTAGTAATTTGCCCTCTTCATGCAAATCTAGGACATAAAAAAATTCTGAATTATTAGCTTGCATTTTCACAAAATAATTATACATTGTAGTGGCATCTCCTTTCTCGAGTTTCAAACAACGAACTTTGTCCATATGATTTCTACAATCTTTCTCTAAATATGACAACTTCACATGCCCTCCGGCTTCAAGCACAAGTGAAGTAAAATTTTTTGTTCATCCTAATCCCTGCAATATCATTTAATTCAAGTCTCCTTTTCACATGTGGTTCAAGAATCCTATTTTGCTTGAAAAAAACGAGATTTGCTTGGACTCATTTCATGGTTATGCTCAAGTCTTAAGGATCGCACTATCCACATTCCATCACCTTGTAAATTTGCATTAAGTCCAACTTTGCATCCCGTTTTAGTTTGGTTTAAGTAAGTGTGATTATATATATATATATATATTTTAATCACACATTTTAATCACACCTTCTAATTAAAGTGTGATTATTTATATATTTTTTAATCACACCTTTTTAATTAAAGTGTGATTGTATATACACTACTACTTTTTAATCACACTTTTTAAGTAAGTGTGATTATATATATATTTTTTAATCACACATTCTAATTAAAGTGTGATTATTTATATATTTTTTAATCACACCTTCTAATTAAAGTGTGATTATATCACTATTATAAAAATAATTAAAGATCACACTTTGATAAATGAAAATATCTCACTTTTATTAAAAGTGTGATAAAAAAAATTAGATTGATATTTTAATCACACTTAATTTAATTGAGTGCGATAATATTTATTTTTTATGTCACTTTTTAATTAAGTGTGATTATATATATATATATATTTTAACCCACTACAACAAAACTGAGTTTTTACGGCTTCACATCAACGATATACAGTAAATGCAAGCCATGGTTTCTCACTTTTACGGCTTATTTTTTTTGCATGTCGTAAATAATTTTTCAACCACGACGTGTCTATTATGTAGGTCGTGAATGCTAATAACAATGACTTTTTTAAGGCTTGCAATGTTAGCCGTAAATAATAAAACTTTTTATAACATGCATATGACATGCCGTTAATACATTAACTATAAAAATATTGAACATTTCACGACGCACAAAAAGTCAGTCGTTAAAAATTACACTTTCCACGACGTACAAAAGCCAGCCGTTTAAAATATTATGCTTTCCACAACACGCAATTGCTGTCGTGAAAGGTATGATCAGGAAAAAAATAATAATAATACAAAAATGTTTCAGGCCCCATTTTCCCCCACCTCCTTTGACCCCCTCTCTCTCTCTCATTAGTTACATTTTTTTTTCCTGCTCCTCCAATCACCATCCGCCACGCGTGTATGGAGTGATAGAGGTGGTGATTGGAGGAGGTCTCTATCATGACTCATAATAATAATAGAATAAAGGTTGAGACCCCCTTTGGGGGTCACCCCCTTGACCCCCTTTAGTTTTGATTGGTCAACTTTTCCTTCTTTTTTTTTTTTCTTCTCACCCAATCCCCAACCTCCATGTATGTGAGGGGATTGTGGGAGTGGGTGTTCTAAGGGGGTCTAAATCAATGCCCATAATAATAATAGTGCCAAAATAAAAATTTTGAGCGCTAAAATGAAAAATTTAGCGGCAAATTAACCCCAAAAACAATAAATAAAAAATCCAAAACAACACCAGCACTATCAAAATTAAAAGAAATAAAAATGAAGAGACACATATGGAGAATAGCATAACCATTTTCCCCATCATCGACTGAAGTTTGTCGGCGACCAGTGCTTCCGTCGGCTACTATTACTTCCATCGGCCTCCTTTTTTTCCATTGTCAGGTATGTAATTACATCATTCTTTGTATCGCAGTGCCTCTTCTAAGTCCTCTTTGTCCAAATTTGAGGTAATTCGTGATGAGGCATAAGGAAATTGAAGCCAATGCCTCAACACTTTGAAGCTATTTTCTGAATCTTTGAAACTATTTTCTGAATCTTTGAAGCTTTTTTTTTTTTTTGGGTGAATGAATCTTTGAAGCTATCTAATATCTATGTATGTTTTTCTCGCATAGCCCTAAAGTTGTTTGACATCAATCGGTTTAAGGTAAACAGAAGTTGCGGCTTTTATTCTTGAACAGAGCTTCGATTCTTCTTCTTCTTCAACATAGCTTCGACTTGCAGCCCTAACAGGTTAGTTTCAACGTTTCTTCTTCTTCTTATTCTTCTTCTTATTCTTGTAATTTGAAAATACTGCTACAAAGTTCAGTTTTCATTATTTATTTATTTATTTGTTATTGTCATTATTGAGTTCAAGCATGTGTTGTTGATGAATTTCACTTATCTTTCTCCATTCTTCTAGTTTTGTTTTTTAATCTAACATTGTGGTATGAAATACTTTTGACAAATTTGGTTAGATTTGTTAAGTTGATCCCAGTCCTCCTAAGGAAGATGGCTTAGAAGAATGCCCTTGTTCGGAAATTTCCTAGTGTCGAAATTCTTGGCTGCACAACCGTGATTTGTTCTGAGCTTCATTCTTCATCTCAATTGATGAAATGTAAGGAAGCTAGTTACAAGGGTTTTGATTTTTCTGAATTTTCTTTTTTAATTTTGTGGCTGAGAATCTGTAATCTGATGATGAATTATGTGTTAAGGGAAGCTAGTTACAAGGGTTTTGATTTTCGTGGATGATTTGTAAATCTAATGATGAATTGTCTATTTACTTTGTCGTATTCTATTGAGAATTTGCCATATTTACTTCACAAATGATTATTCTCGTAATTTTCTACAATCCTCAGCAATCAAAATAGCATTGATTATTTTTATTATTATTATTACTTTTGAATTGAAATATAAAGTGCTTTAGTAGATGTTTAATATTTTGTTGGGAATGGACACATTTCATTATGCAGGATAATATGACAATGGATTTTGATGAGAGGTACTTCCATGGGAAACCACAAAATAGCTTCCACAAAGCAGTGAATATCCCTGATGTGGCAGTTTTTCCAAGGTGAGATTGGACTTTTTTTAACTTGGAAACTATAATTTTGTTTATTTTTATAATTTGGCACTTGTATTTATTTTCGTTATTTTCCATTTTTGTTGTGTTGGTCCCAGTTTACACCATGAGCTCATGCATTCAAAAGAAACGCGGCATTTTATTTGTTCACTGAATGCTCATAATTGATATGTTGCTTCTATTTTCATCTACTCTTGAGAAAATCTATGTATAATGCAGTTCCTATTTTAGCTATTGATAGTGGACTTAGATTTGACTTGTGTCTTGAATTTGTTCATTATTGATTCATAGGCTATTACTTCAACATTTCATGATATCCATAGAATTTTCATCTAACTTGAAATAGCACATGCAGTCCTTGGTGTTAGTTTGGTTGTTATCACAAATATGAGATACGGGATAAGACTGTCTATTGTAAAGATGGTTTATCAAGCTATTTTTTAGTAGTCCTTTTTTCCATTTTTTTGTGGTCTGCTCAGTAGTACATTGTGTAGTGTATCCTAGTTTTCTCTCCAAAATGCACCTTAACTGTAGTTTGTGCATGCAGGAATGCAGAGGAAGTGTCCAAGATAGTCAAATCTTGTAACAAGTATAAGGTTTGAGCTCCTTGCTTTTGAGGGTTGTCTGATTTTTCTCTTTTTCTTTCAATTGTTTTTTATTGTTTTTCAGTTGCTAAATATAATGTGAATGGGTATGTAACGCCCTCAAAATAATAACATTAATCAACCAACCTATAACAAACCCGCTCAACACATCCTATAACTCAAATACAAAGTAAGAAAGGATGTAAACAAGATAACAAACAACTACCAACATCCACGGACACATGTCCGGATCACTATACAACAAGGGTAAACCTGGGATCGCTATAGGTAACTCTTCTTTTACGCATTTGAGTTTTGGGCTATTGGATTGTTCAAACTGATAATTATTTGTATCCATTCATTAGGCACGAAAATCCAAATTTGAAATGCAGAAAAGAACCAAATATAATGGTTGTTTTTATTTAACATATACATATTCACTATAAATAATTTTGACAACTGGCTTATTTATTTGAACTTTTCTTTTATTTTTTTTATAATTTATTTTCTGGTTTAATTTGATGAGCAGGTCCCTACGGTGGAGCCACATCACTCGAGGGTCATACATTATCACCTCATGGAGGTGTTTTCATTGACATGAATTTGATGAAAGTATGAGCCTGTTTCTTGTTATAAATCACGCCACATGATTTTAAGGCCCCTTTTATCAGTAAAATTTAGTTTATTGACATTCATTAAAATTTAGATTATTATATTGAAATCTGAAGGGTCTCAATTAGAGTTAAAATTACAATGTCAAAAGGGAGTAAAATAAAATATCCTAATACCATAATTTCTCCACATGAAGCACTGGACTTAAAAAAATTAAAATTGAGGGTTGGTTCATCTTCTATAAGGAGGGTCTATGTTCCAGTTCTTTCTACACTTGATGTTGCTTTTGTACTAGTTATAAACTAAAGAGTAGTGGAGTTCTGTTTCTCTTTAAAATAATAGTTCTCCTTTTTAACAGTGGTGGAGTTCTATTTCCCTTTGTTCCCAAACTTTATGTTTTCAATTTATTTTCAAAAAGATTTTAAATAGTGGAAAGAAAAAGATAAAATTAGCTTTACTTTCCATTATGAAGAATAGCTACAACAGAAATTCAAACTGAAATGTAAATAAATGATCATTTTGTTAACTTCTCAACTCTTAACTTCTTCAATGCTTCACTTCATTTGACGGTTCTCGGCTTCAAGACTACAATCAACTGAAACCATGCTTAAATGCGCAGAAGGGGAAGAAGTATAAGCAATAAACTTTCAAATTTAAAGGTACTATAAAGCAAGAGTTAGAGAGAATATTGGTGCTAGTTGTATGATTTAATTTTAACTTCTCGTGGTGATAAGGATAGAATTGGGAATATTTCTTAGAAGCTATGCTTTTAGTCAATCATGGACAGAATTTTGTGTCCTCGTTTTCTGCAGGATGTTCACAGAAGCAATATCTTCTTTTGTTTCTGTCCCCTAGCATGCCCATTATGTTCAAATTTGTGGTGGTGTTTATCTGAGGTTGCTTTTGTTCTTTAGTTTTTTTTTTTTTAATCATTGCAATATCGTTTCTGCTTCATTGGAAGATATTCAATCTATTTTTATTTGCAGTTGGACCTCATTTATTCAATTTCTATCAATGCTCAGAAATTGTTTTGCATTTCTTTTCCTATGCTTGTAATAAAAAACAGAGTAGTTGTATTCTTATCTTTACTAATATTGTTGCTTCCTCCAGATACATGCATGATAAGCTAATTCATTGCAAGGTATCCATTGTTGAACCAGGAGAGTAACAGAGTTGCTGAGGTCATATTCGAATCATTGATATGATTAGCATATACCCCACACTGAAGCTCCTCATGAAGCTCCAATCCTTTCAAGTGGTTACTTCCATTTTTATCCTATTGAAGCTCCTCATGAAGCTCCAATCCTTTCAAGTGGTTACTTCCATTTTTATCCTATTGAAGCTCCTCATGAAGCTCCAATCCTTTCAAGTGGTTACTTCCATTTTTATCCTATTGAAGCTCCTCATGAAGCTCCAATCCTTTCAAGTGGTTACTTCCATTTTTATCCTATTGAAGCTCCTCATGAAGCTCCAATCCTTTCAAGTGGTTACTTCCATTTTTATCCTATTGAAGCTCCTCATGAAGCTCCAATCCTTTCAAGTGGTTACTTCCATTTTTATCCTATTGAAGCTCCTCATGAAGCTCCAATCCTTTCAAGTGGTTACTTCCATTTTTATCCTATTGAAGCTCCTCATGAAGCTCCAATCCTTTCAAGTGGTTACTTCCATTTTTATCCTATTGAAGCTCCTCATGAAGCTCCAATCCTTTCAAGTGGTTACTTCCATTTTTATCCTATTGAAGCTCCTCATGAAGCTCCAATCCTTTCAAGTGGTTACTTCCATTTTTATCCTATTGAAGCTCCTCATGAAGCTCCAATCCTTTCAAGTGGTTACTTCCATTTTTATCCTATTGAAGCTCCTCATGAAGCTCCAATCCTTTCAAGTGGTTACTTCCATTTTTATCCTATTGAAGCTCCTCATGAAGCTCCAATCCTTTCAAGTGGTTACTTCCATTTTTATCCTATTGAAGCTCCTCATGAAGCTCCAATCCTTTCAAGTGGTTACTTCCATTTTTATCCTATTGAAGCTCCTCATGAAGCTCCAATCCTTTCAAGTGGTTACTTCCATTTTTATCCTATTGAAGCTCCTCATGAAGCTCCAATCCTTTCAAGTGGTTACTTCCATTTTTATCCTATTGAAGCTCCTCATGAAGCTCCAATCCTTTGAAGTTGCTGCAAAGCAATAAATATTGAGCTGAAGCAATTTTCTCATCATGAGTGTTTATGTTTTTTTAGGTTATGGTTGAGAAAATGGGACTTCCTGATGGATTGGATTCTGGTACATCTAAAGGTTATGGTGATGTTCTACGTAAGTTACAATTATAACTTATGTTTTTGTTGTTTACTAAACGTGTTTACGTGGCTGCTAATGTGTACCATTTAATTTTATGTAATTGAAGGTTGTTGTCGGACGTGGAGTAAGATTGAAAGACGGATTGCCACTCTTGAGTTTGACCGTGATAGGAAATCGATGGGAGTTATAGTGAGTTCCAGCTCAAGAAGAAAGTCATTGCTTGTAAAGGTGCATACACCACATTTTCCCTCCCTCACTCTTCTTTCATGTAGCCATGTGGAGTTTTATAGTTTTTAATTCGATATATTATCACATAGAAGAAACTGATTTTCTGATAAGAATTGCAAAACTATAAAATGTGGTTCCACCATTTTAATCTTTGTTTCAATTTTTTTTGTCTCTTTGCTAGTATTTTTTGCAACTTCAATTTGCGTGCGAGATAGATTGTGAACAAATTTACTTGGAACTTTAATGGGGAAGAGTATGATGAATGGGTGCTCAATGAAGAAATAGAAAAAGGGTTGATGGACCATGGGATCTTGCTACAATTTCTACACTTCTAACACTGATTTGGAAGCACTATGTTAGATATGGAGAAAATATTTTTTGGTTGAAAAGTTCATATCTAATTTATAAAATGTACAAAATGAAAACTAGAAGAAGGTGAATATTGGCCCTGCGTGGGAAAGTAAACGTGTATGACATGTAGATGATTTTGGTTGAAAAATTCATATCTAACGCATTAAAGTGAACATTGATTTTGATTCTTTTGGGAGTTGTAGTAGATTGTTGATATCTATCTTATACCTCAAACACCACTAGCTTGTGGGATTACTGTTATTACTTCCTTTTAGTCTAGTATATAAATTAATGTATTAAATCAATATTCAATTATTGAACACAAGAATGACTGAGTAAAGCAGAGAAATATTTCAGTGAAGGGACTATCTAGTTTTAATTAATTCATTCAGCAGATTTTAGATTAGTAACACATTTTTAGCAGATTTTAGATTAGTAGGAGCCAAAGAATTGGGTCAGTAAAAATACTTTTGGACCTTTTTAGGTTCTGAAAATTAACAGAAATATGAAATAATAAGTTTACTTTCATTCCCAATTTAGAATTTGCATAACCTAACCAGAATTTTATCTATAGGCCCTACTCCATATTCTGTCCAGATTTGACACACTTTTAGGAAAATGAGCTTTTGCATCAAAGTAAAGGGAGCATTTAATGCCAGAAATCAAACCTTTTGCATCAAAGAAAAGAGCTTCGAGTCACTTCTTGGGACTCCATATGCCAGGCAAGCCTGTTCATCAATAAAGATCCTTTTCTTTTGTTGATTTAAAAAAAAATGCTCATTTAATTTGATTAATAGGTTAGTTTTTGATTAATTACATCTATACATATATATACATATATGTATATGAGAATTAGGCAAAGAAATGCACAAACTATGTTTATATTATTGTATTGATAATTCTAAGAATGTTCATAACATGAAAAAACAAATACTTGTATCTAAATGGTGTATTAATTTATCATATGTTATCATTTTCTAAATTTATCATACTCATGTGAATTTTATTGTATAAATGAGGTGACAGATGGATCTAGTGGCATTCACCAGGCTTCTCCACAAACACATCAGAGATCCTCTTTTAGAAGTCATGAAATGCAAGCTTTTAATCGGGATAAGTATTTCACTTATATATATATATATATATTATGGAATAGAAAAATCAATATTTTCTCTTTTTTAATGTCATTTTCATGTTTCAAGTAAGTCACCATTACAAATTTTAATATCAACATCAAACTCTAATATGAAATAAAAAAATAGACCCTTGGATGTTTTTGTTGGTTGGTTGATTAGTGGCTGCTACAAACCCAACCTTTGGCATTGTTTGCATGAAGTGGCTGCCCTCAGATTATAATCTACAGTCCAAGCATTTACCATTCCACAAAGCAATTTTCCATATATATGGTATCTACGTATGTGTATACAAACAGTGTAAAAGCATACATACCTGTATATAAGCAGTGTAAAAGCATACATGAATGAAATGGTAGGTCTGTCCCAGAACTTCCGGAATTCATGTCAAATTGAATATAGATTAAGTTGTGATCACTGTAGCACATATACAAAGAATGAGCATGAGATACATATATTACTCAGCAATGTTACGGTAGGGGTTGGCATAGATTGCTCAGTTAGAAGATAGAATGTGATAGATTTAATTGACAATTATAGGTCATCCTTCTTTTTACGAAATGGAACATACTTTCACTCTTGGCAGCATGTCTGGTTGAATTGATATGATTTGTTAATTGAGATTGGGAGATTGTTGGTGTTAGTGTTTCAGACTAGGAAGCTTTTCGGGTAGTTCAAGAGCTATTTCTTGAGGACAACAAGTAGAGATGATGTTACTCTGCTTTTCTGGGTTGAACTATTGGCAGTTTTATGTGTTTGGGTTGTTCAGTTTTCTGTTAAAATTATTAGAGCAATTGATGACTGTAGTGTTCTGTTCGACCTTAGTCTCACCACACAACCTCCAATCTTCTTCTTCATCACTGTATATATATATTGAAAGTGCCCAGTTTCACTTTTCCTTTTTAACTTCAAGATATTAGCTATACAGGTTGCATATGTTTGATTGTTTGCTTTCAAATGTTTTATTTTTATTTTTTTCATTTCCTTTTGTTTTCGTTTTTGAACTAAATGTTGCGATTGTTGAATATATAAAAATTTCATGGAGCTTCTTTGATCTTTCAATAGAGATGTTTCATCTCTATAATTACTTCATTTTTATAGAATCTTTATTGCTCATGAATGCTTGATCTGCACAAAATGTGATTCAAATACATGAAAATTGTAACTTTTTTATAGATTAGCAGTTCAAGCTCTTCAGTTTTGATGATTTTATTGTGTGTTGTTTAATGATTTTTATTTTTATATTTTTTCCCATTTTCTTGGGTGTAGAAGAAAGTTTGAAAATTTATAGCACTCCAATTGTTTGTTCTAAAGCCTAAAAAGAGACTCATTGATGACTTTGGTTTATCAAAATAACTTGTTTGAATTTTGAAACTATACCCTTATTTGGTCTGTGTTCTCAGTTTTCGATTTGTCGATTTGATTGGCTAATGGTGATATTTGTTTGTAACAAGGGAATTTAGTGCTATTCTAGGAAGAAAACCTGAACCTTGTACTGCTTTTTATTCTTCTTACCAGTGCAGGTAACTTATGTTCATTGAATGATAAATTTTAGTGAAGGAATGCATTTTCAAAATTTTGGCATATTTATGAAGGGCTGCAGGCTAGGGTTGCGTAATTGTTAAGTGTTTTTGTATGGGACACGGACATTCAACACACCACAGATATCTGAAATGCAGTCAAAGTATTTGCACAATCAACATTGAATTGCATTTCTTTTGTAGAACATTAAATATTTGAGATGGATAGAGCCTCTTAAATTAAGTTGTTGGTTATAGTAAAATTTCTGTTGAACTTGCAACTTTTATGGGTAAAGTGACATTTTGATTTTACATGTTTCATGTCATGGCAGAGGTATTTAATGTTAAGACATTTGAAGGGGTGTGATTGGTCGGACTTTATCTTTTGTAAGACTAGAACAATCTCTGCAAATAGGTAGTTTATTCATATCTAGTGGTGTCTGACTTAATTTGTGTTTTTATTTTTCAGGTTAGAAATTTTTTGGAGAGATGTAAAATATGGTCAAAGAATTCAAGGATTTAGTTTTTCAAGTTTATTTTTATTTTTATTTTTTAATATATGTAAGCACAGTCTAAAATTTTTTATTTAATTCATTTGTATATACTTTTGAACATATTTAATTTTCATTTAGGAAATATATGACATTATTCCATTGAATATGTGGTTATGATTCAAAGTATAGTATATAGTGTGTATTACATTCTTGAAATGCGCGCACAAAAATAATATTGATTATTCTTCAAATATGTCGAATCTTTTTAGTAATTAATCACACTTAAAAGATGTGATCTAAAGTTTTTTATCACAGGTTTTATTAGTTTTTTATCACACTTAAAAGATGTGATCTAAAGTTTATTATCACAGGTTTTATTAGTTTTTAATCACACTTAAAAGATGTGATCTAAATGATATTAATCACACTTAAAAGGTGTGATCTAAAGTTTATTATCACAGGTTTTATTAGTTTTTAATTACACTTAAAAGATGTGATCTAAATATTTTTAATCACACTTAAAAGGTGTGATCTAAATGTTATTAATCACACTTAAAAAGTGTGATTAAAAATGACCCCTTTTAATCACACTCCCAAATATCACACTTTAATAAAACTTAAAAGGTGTGATTAAATAACAAACATCACACAAAAAAGTGTGATGTTTATCTGTTTTTGTAGTAGTGCGAGTTTCAAACAACGAACTTTGTCCATATGATTCCTACAATCTTTCTCTAAATATGACAACTTCACATGCCCTCCGGCTTCAAGCACAAGTGAAGTAAAATTTTTTGTTCATCCTAATCCCTGCACTATCATTTAATTCAAGTCTCCTTTTCACATGTGGTTCAAGAATCCTATTTTGCTTGAAAAAACGAGATTTGCTTCGACTCATTTCATGGTTATGCTCAAGTCTTAAGGATCGCAGTATCCACGTTCCATCACCTTGTAAATTTGCATTAAGTCCAACTTTGCATCCCGTTTTAGTTTGGGGGCATAGTTTAACTATATTGCTTGTTTTGATTTTTTCCTTTCCAGCACATGTACAAGCTATAGTTACATATTTTTTCTTCCCATCATCTCCCCTTTTACAATATTTCTTCGACACCGCAAAACCATTTCTCTTCCCATATCTTGAATAATATTCATAAATTTCATCAATTGACTTAAATGTCATTCCCACTTTAGGATCCTTAATTTCAACTTCTACATTTTTTGTATCTTCTATTTCAGTCTCAATATCAATTTCGTCACAGTCCTCATTTGATCCGCTCGATATTTCTTTATCCATACCTCTACAATGTAAATAACAAATTAAAAAAAAAAATTATTCATAACAAAGGCCAAAAAAACCCTAATTAAGTAGAAAATTAAATTATTTTATTAACTTTCTACTGAAAATATGTAAAAATTCAAACAGAAAATTCAGTAATAAAAAATTGAAGAAGAGTAACAAAGATAAAAAAATCAGCAATAAAATTCAGCGGGACTGTGAGTAACAAAGATTTTTAGCAATAAAAAATTTAGCAATATGCTTAAGTGAAAGAGAGAAGTACCAGTCAATGACGACAAAGACGAAGAAGGTAGGTTGCTCTTCGGACGATTGTTATCTTTCTCTCTCTCTCTCTCTCTGTCACGCCCCAATTTTTATTACTCGAAGTATTACCAATTTCATTTACTTAAATCCATTTCAGAGATAACAAATGGACACTAACCCTTGGTTTCCAAACACAACCAACGTGTTTTAAACCTACCCAACACGACCCAAGACTCATATACAAAGAGTAAAGGATGGAAACTAGAAAAAAACAACAACACATCCACGGAACCGAGTCTGAAATACAATTAAACAATGAAGGGAAAACCGGGATCGCTATACTCTCTCTCTCTCCAATTTGTTCTGAGAAGAAGGTATTCAACTTTCTCTCTCTATGGTCTTTCCAACTTCTCTTTCTTTTTTTCTTTTTTTCTTTTTTTAATAATATATTGGGGCTCCACCAATATGAGTTGGTCAATGCCAACTCATTCATGAAACCTTTCTTGATAAACTTTTCTTGACCCCTAGCATTATTGGGGGCAAAAAGGGTTATCACTAATTTTTATTTTCAAATTTACTTTTTAAAAGATTTTATTTTTGTATTTTTCATGTCTTTTTTATTTTCATTAATTTTTTTAATATTTTAAATATTTTTTTTAATTTTTAGATACACCTATTATAAATACACTTAAAAAGTATAATATTTGTGATTTTTTTAAAAAAAAATTCACTAAATACCAAAAATACAAAAATACAAAAAAAAAAAACCAAAATACAATACATTTTTTCATATTTTTGTATATTTATTAATCTTTTCAAATATTTTTTCGCAAATATTTTAATATTTAGATATATCTAAGTGAGGTGCATCTAAAAAAGTAAAAAAAAATGCTTAAAATTTAAAAAATATTCACTAAAATCAAAAGAAAATACGAAAAATAAAAAGCTCAGTCTTCAGAAATTTGAATTCAGAAAATTAAAACCAAACACACTAAATAATATTTTAAAACAAAAATGTTGACATCACATAAT